TAGAATAGAATAGAATAGAATAGAATAGAAATAAGGAATAGAATAGAATAGAAAAGAAATATAGAATAGAATAGAATAGAATAGAATAGAATAGAATAGAATAGAATAGAATAGAATAGAATAGAATAGAAATAAGGAATAGAATAGAATAGAAAAGAAATATAGAATAGAATAGAATAGAATAGAATAGAATAGAATAGAATAGAAATAAGGAATAGAATAGAATAGAATAGAATAGAATAGAATAGAATAGAATAGAATAGAATAGGAGCTGAAAGGGACCTTGGAGGTCTTCTAGTCCAGCCCCCTACTCAAGCTGGAGAACCTATACCATCTCAGACAAGTGACTGTCTAGCCTCTTCTCAAAAATCCCCAGTGATGGAGCACCCATGATTTCCAGTGGCAAGCTGTTCCACTGGTTGATAGTCCTCACTGTCAGGAAGTTTCTCCTTAATTCCAGGTTGTTTCTCTCCTTGATCAGTTTCCAACCATTGTTTCTCGTCCTTCCCTCTGGTGCTCTGGTGAACAACCTGGTCCCCTCTGCCTTGTGGCAGCCCCTCAGATACTGGAACGCTGATATCCTGTCCCCCCTATTTCTTCTTTTCTTCAGACTGGCCAAACCCAAGTCCTGCAGCTGTTCTTCTTATATTTTAATCTCCAGGCCTTGGATCATCTTACTTGCTCTTCTCTGAATTTTTTCCTCCAAACACTCAACATCTTTTTTGTGATATGGTGACCAAAACTGACTGCAATATCCTAGGTGTGGCCTCACTAGGGCTTTATAAGCAAAACTGGTGTGGGAAAGATATGAGCTTGGCAGCTCCTTAAAAATACTGTAACTCGCCGAGCATCTTATGAAAGGACACCAACAACTGTGGACACATGAAGAGGCAAACTTGGGGGTGTCAGGGCCAGAGACAGGATGTAGCATCCTCAAGGATGCTTTGGGGACTCCAGAGTTAAATTGGAAAATTGGGTGCGTAAACTCACAACCTTTGCTTTCCTCTGGGCATTGGGCTGGAGTTCCAGGCATCTCCCTTCAACCAGTGGTGGGATTCAGCCAGTTCGCACCAGGTCGGCAGAACTGGTAGCTAATTTTTTGTTGCCCAGGCCCAGAATGGACTTCCAGAAGCAGCATCAACACAGAGAACCGGTTATTGACATATTTGAATCCCACCACTCCTTCCTTCCTTCCTTCCTTCCTTCCTTTCTGTGGTGGGATTCAGCCAGTTCGCACCACTTCGGCAGAACCGGTAGCTAATTTTTTGTTGCCCAGGCCCAGAACGGACTTCCGGAAGCGGCATCCACGCAGAGAACCGGTTGTTGACATATTTGAATCCCACCAATCCTTCCTTCCTTCCTTCCTTCCTTCCTTCCTTCCTTTCTGTGGTGGGATTCAGCCAGTTCGCACCACTTCGGCAGAACCGGTAGCTAATTTTTTGTTGCCCAGGCCCAGAACGGACTTCCGGAAGCGGCATCCACACAGAGAACCGGTTGTTCACCTATTTGAATCCCACCGCTGCCTCCAACCTGGGATTCAGCTCTCGACCCTTTCCCCCCCACAAGGACCGAGTCCCTTTTAGCAGGAGCTGGACAGGCGTTTGCTTAAGGCTGGACAGCTCTGCCAGATTAAGGGGCCCACATTCCTGGTGGATTAGTCTGGCCGGGACTGCTGTGAAGCAGAGCTGAGCCAGAAAATTGGAATTAAGTGGATTTGCAGGTAGCAGCCCAGGGATACATTCTCTGAAGTCAGCAGATTACGAAAAAGAGCACGGGGGGGGGGCACTTAGATTTCTTTTAGGGGTTTCTTTGTGGACCTGCTGGAAATCTGCAAATCGGCGGAAGATAAATAATTCTAACCGTTAAGGAGAGACCTCCTTTTTTGAACCTGTGGGAAAACATGCTGAACTCTGGTTAAAAATATGCTAATTTGGGGCATTTCCCTCCCTCACAGCCTCAGTTTCCCATGGAAACAATAGTTTCCCACCTCTCTCTCTTTTCTCACTCTCCTTTCTCTTTCTCTCTCTCTTTCTCTCTTCTCTTTGTCCCTTTTCTCTTTCTCTTTTCTCTTTCTCCCTCCTTCTCTTTTTTTCTTTTCTCTTTGTCCATCCCACTCTCTCGTTCTCTCTCTCTTTTCTCTTTCTCTTTCTCCCTCCTTCTCTCTTTCTCTTTTCTCTCTTTCTCCCTCCTTCTCTCTTTTCTCTTTCTCTTTTCTTTCTCTATCCTACTCTCTCATTCTCTCTCTTTTCTCTCCTTCTTTCTCTCTTTTCTCTCTCCCTCATCTCTCTCTTTTCTCTCTCTCTCTCTCCTTCTCTTTCTCTCTCTCTTTCTCTCCCCCACCCCGGATTATTTAAAGCAGTGTTTCTCAACTTCGACATCTTTCAGAGAAGTGGACTTCAACTCCCAGAATTCCCAGCCAGCTTGGGAATTCTGGGAGTTGATATCCACGCCACGTAAAGTCGCTCAGGTTGAGAAACCCTGATTTAGAGAGGGAAGGACCCACCATACAGCCTTTAGAAGGTGTAGTATAGCTAGACGAATCCATCCTTCTCTTTTTGTCACAAAGGTGTGAACTGCGATGTGGAGGTCAACGAGTGTGAATCGAGTCCCTGTTGGCACGGTGGCACCTGTTCTGACCATATTGGGTTCTTCATCTGTTCCTGCCTGCCGGGCTACGAAGGAACCCAGTGCGAAGTGGATATTGATGAATGCCACAGCCAGCCTTGTCTGAACGGAGCCATCTGCCAGGACTTGGTCAACAGGTGAGAGCCTCAATCTTGAGGACAAACTCAATGGCTTCTTGTGCTGCCCCACTTCCCCCCCCCCCACACACATATGGCAAGAATTCTACAGGTGTTTATTCAACCTCCCCCAAACAGGTGCTCAGAAAGCACCCCGTGGTGCAGGTCCGGGTTCCAAGCTCAATACAGGGTAACTGAGTCCAATGGGCATACACAAAGTCCAGGAGTCACAGGCCAGGATATACGGCACGAGCACACAAGCCACACAACTGGGCACATTGCTATAACAACACTCAAATCCTCAGGGTGGGGTTAACTAGGCAATGCCGGTGCAATCCTTCGTGAGAAGCAAGGCTGCCTCCTCGCGAATAGCCTAGCTGACCTGCATTATGCCTGTCTCCTCTCTGCTCTAGAGGTGTGGACTCTTACCTCCTCCTCATTGCTAACAGGTGGCAGCTGCTCCTGCAGCTTGCCTCCCTCAGTCTTAGCCTGTTGCTCCCACCCAGCTGAGGCATGACTGGCTCAGGAATTCTGGGAGTTGAAGTCCATGAGTCATAAAAGAGCCAAGGTTGCCTACCCCTGGACTAGGCTATTTTAATCTCCTGCCAAACCTTGGAGGAACTGTGAGGAATGCACAGAGGATGTGACTGATGGTGCAGTGCACACCCCATCGACAAGACTATGCTATTTTAATGCTCCAGCCACACCTTGGAGGAACTGTGAGGAACACAGCTGAGGAACAGTCAAGACGCATTGAGCTAAACCCAGGGATGAAATTGACATGGGGCATCCTAAGGCATTGACCACCCCTATGGAACAAAGAGGATGTGCTAAATCAGTCAGTCCCACAATTTTTTCTTCTTTTTCTTCCTTAGCTACCAGTGTGACTGTCACAACACTGGCTTTGAAGGACAACATTGTGAGTCGGACATCTTGGAGTGTGCTTCACAACCTTGTCAGAATGGGGCCCCTTGCTTGGAAGGAGCTGGATTTTACAACTGTTCTTGCTGGCCAGGTAAGCAAAAGTTTTTAAAACGTGGCAGCTGCTGGGGGGGGGAGGGCTTGTGAGCCCCCCCCCATCCTATTTCTTAAAGAAGACATTGATGGGTTCCACTGGGAAGGTCTTCTGGATTGTCCTTGCGTCAAACTGGTGCACTAACTCAAACAAGAACCTGGTTGAATTGAGGTAGGATACCTTGCCTCCACTCCAGAGTTTCTAGTTTGACTCATCTTCTGTCCCCTTTACTCTTTGACATTAGGGTACGTAGGAACACACTGCGAAGAAGACCTAAACGAGTGTTCAACACACCCGTGTCTCAACGATGGAGAATGCCTCGAACGGTCCAATCAGAGCTACTACGGGAGACACATGGATTTCCCCGAGCAATTTAGCTACCGAGCAGCTGCTGGTTTCATCTGCAGTTGTCATCCTGGTTTTGAGGGTGTGTTCTTTTCACTTGTTTTGGGGGGATCCCGCAAGGTCTGTACCGTGGATCAGGAATTAGCTGACGGGTCAAGGAATCAGCCTCTCCCCCTCCCCTATTGCTTCAGCAAGGTTTTTCATGCGACTGTTGTTGTTAGTTGGGAAGTCGTGTCTGACCCATCGCGACCCCACGGACAATGTTCCTCCAGGCCTTCCTGTCCTCTATCATCTTCTGGAGTCCATTGAAGCTCACGCCTGCTGCTTCAGTGACTCCATCCAGCCACCTTCTTCTCTGTCGTCCCCTTCTTCTCTTGCCCTCCATCTTTCCCAGCTTTAGGCCCTTCTCCAGTGAGTCCTTCCTTCTCATTAGGTGGCCAAAGTACTTGAGTTTCAACTTCAGGATCTGGCCTTCTAAAGAGCAGTCGGGGTTGATCTCCTCTAGGACTGACCGGTTTGATCGCCTTGCAGTCCAGGGGACTCGCAAGAGTCTTCTCCAGCACCAGAGTTCAAAGGCCTCAATTCTTTGGCGCTCGGCCTTTCTTATGGTCCAACTTTCACAGCCATACGTTGCAACTGGGAAAACCATGGCCTTGACTGTACGCACTTTTGTGGGCAGGGTGACGTCTCTGCTTTTTAGTACGCTGTCTAGATTTGCCCTGCTTTTTTAGATCGTTATAGATTTTCATTCTGGGTCTGTCTGTCTTTCTTCCACGGGAGAAAGGACGATTTAAATAAGCCTTAAGTGCTGCAGGAGAACAGAACGGGCTTTTCAGTGTGTGGGGGGTGTGGGTCTGTGGTTCGAGTTCATAAATTCAAGCCCGCTCGTTGAATCAAGTTAGTGATCGATCCCCCACCCCCCGAAAAATCAACGAGGAACACAGGTTGTGAGCATGACCTGCTTTGCGATCTCTTTGAAGGCGAAACCTGCTCCATCAACACAGATGAATGCGAATCTCAGCCGTGTCAAAACGGAGGAAGCTGCCTGGACTTGGTGAACAGCTACCGGTGTGACTGCTTACCTGGATATTCAGGTAAATGGAGGAGGGGGGAAACGAAGAACAAGGTTGAAGAACGGGAGGGAATCTGAACATGGGAAAGAGAGAAGCCTTATGGTGCCTTTCCGTGACCCAAAGGCTTATCTCTTACTGCCTTTTTTTCCACTTACCTAATTTAAGTTTCTAGCTGGGTGAATTCTGCACTGATTTAATATCAAAGTCAGATTTGCTGGAAACTTTCCAGATTTGATTTGGGTTGCTTCGTGCTGTGATATTTGGCCCAAGCGATGCTTGCTGTGTGTCTCCTGTCGGGGTTTGTATTTGGCTGGGGCAAATCTTACGATGTGCTTTCCCTAATCTCGCTCACGTGGGAAGGGCCTCACTGGTTTTGCTAGCTTTTGCAGTACTGTCTTTATAGAGATTGGTAGAAGAGATATTTGTAGCTCAGGGCTGAATTGTGGAGTCCTTGGGACACGCGGAGCTTGGCTGTTTTCTTGCAGACGTTTCATGACCCAACTAGGTAACTTCATCAGTGCTAGAAAGGAGAGGGGTTTGTGGAGAGGAGGAGGAGAAGGAGGAGGAGGATGACTGAGGGGTCTTTGGTGCTCTCTGAGCTTGCTTGTTTTCTTGCAGACGTTTCATGACCCAACTAGGTAACATCATCAATGCTAGAAGGGAGTAGGTAGAGGAGAAGGAGGAGGAGGAGGAGGACTGTGGGGTCCTTGGTGCTCTCTGAGCTTGGTTTTCTGGTAGACATTTCCTGACCCAACTAGGTAACATCATTAGTGCTAGAAGGGAGAGGGGTTTGTGGAGAGGAGGAGGAGGAGGAGGAGGAGGAAGAGGAAGAGGAGGACTGTGGGGTCCTTGGTGCTCTCTGAGCTTGGTTTTCTTGCAGACATTTCATGACCCAACTAGGTAACTTCATCAGGAGAAGGAGGAGGACTGTGGGGTCCTTGGTGCTCTCTGAGCTTGGTTTTCTTGCAGACATTTCATGACCCAACTAGGTAACTTCATCAGGAGGAGGAGGAGGAGGAGGAGGAAGGGGAGGAGGAGGAAGGGGAGGAGGAGGAGGAGGAGGAGGATTGTGGGGTCCTTGGTGCTCTCTGAGCCTGGGTTTTTTTTTTTGGTAGATGCTTCACTACCCAACTAGATAACATCTTTCGTGTTAACACTGATGATATTACCTAGTTGGGCAATGAAACATCTGCAAGGAAACCGCCCAGCTCGGAGAGCACCCAGGTCCTTGCCGTGATCAACTGGAAGGCCTTTTAAAATTGGGATTTGAGCAAAAGCAGAGAAGAAATGCAAGACGTGCTCCATTCGCAAGTGTTATCCACCTGTGTTTTCCCCAAACGAATGGAAGAGAGACCTTATATCTGGTTTAGCTGTAAGGTACAGACGAAGCTGCTTGCTTCTAAGACCAGTGTTTCTCAACCTTGGCAATTTTAAGGCATGTGGACTTCAACTCCCAGAATTCCACAGCCAGCAATGCTGGCTATGGAATTCTGGGAGTTGAAGTCCACATGCCTTAAAATTGTCAAGGTTGAGAAACACTGTGCTAAGTTCATTTGCAATGTTCCATCCGGTGGGACCAGATAGGTCTGAAACGCTGGCTGTTGGGAATACTCTTTCTAAAATATTGTGAGGCTGCCATCTCGTGGAAAGGAAGAAAAATCTGAAACGTGGAGGTGAGCTTTCTAAAATGCAGAGGACTTAACACTGACACTTACGCTTACACGCAATCCGATGAGATGAAATCAACTGTCCAGCTGAGATACTGCAGGACGCTCTTTCTGCTTCTATTTCAGCCTATCCTCGTTTAGGAAGAGGGGATAGGGACTCCTCGTTTAGCGACCAGCAATTCCGTTATTGAGTGAAACAGTCCTTAATTGAAAGGGTGACTAGTCTTAGGATCTGACTTCAGCTTTCCTTTGCTTTGCAGCCCTGAAAAGGTAGTAAATGCGAGGATTAGCTGCAAAGTAATAATAATAATAATAATAATAATAATAATAATAATAATAATAATAATAATAATAATAATAATAATAATAATAATAATAATAAAGTTGGAAGGGACCTTGGAGGTCATCTAGTCCAACCCCCTGCTCAGACAGGAAACCCTATATGATTCCAGACAAGTGGTTGTTCAATCTCTTCTTAAAAACTTCCAGCGTTGGAGCATTCACCGCTTCTGGAGGCAGGTTGTTCCACTGGTTAATTGTTCTCACTGTCAGGAAGTTTCTCCTTAGTTCTAGGTTGCTTCTCTCCTTGATTAGTTTCTATCCGTTGCTTCTTGTCCTGCCTTCAGGCGCTTTGGAGAATAGCTTGACTCCCTCTTCTTTGGGGCAGCCCCTGAGATACTGGAAGACTGTTATCAGGTCCCCCCTCGTCCTTCTCTTCATTAAACTAGACATACCCAATTCCAGCAACCATTCCTGATATGTTTTAGCCTCCAGTCCCCTAATCATCTTTGTTGCTCTTCTCTGTACTCTTTCTAGAGCCTCAACATCTTTTTTACATCGTGGTGACCAAAACTGGGTGCAGGATTCCAAGTGTGGCCTTACCAAGGCCTTGTAAAGTGGTATTAATACTTCACGTGATCTTGATTCTATCCCTCTGTTAATGCAGCCTAGCACTGGGTTGGCCTTTTTCGCAGCTGCAGCACACGGCCGGCTCATATTTAGGTGATTGTCCACTAGGACTCCGAGATCCCTCTCACAGTTACTACTATTGAGCCAGGTACTTCTTCATCATTGTCGTAACTGCGAATGGTTGCTAAACGAGGACTACCTATATTAGTGGATGCTCCTGTCAGCAGGATCTTTTAGAGATCGCCATGGGTTGGTGGGTGGGTGGGGGGGTAGGAAGAGATAGACTTGATTGTTTCTCCATTCAGTTAATTCTGAACGTTCATCAAGGAAGTGTAGAGAGCCACCTTGGCAATTCTCATACCAGCTGCGGAATTCTGGGAATTGAAGTCCACAAAATTGCCAAGATTGACAAACCGTGGTTTAGAGAATCTGGGCCAATCCTTGATGGCGGTAACTCTTCTGATGGGAAAGGATGGCTGTGGGGCAACACTTGTGTCCTTCTAAGAAGAATCAATCAATCAATCAATCAATCAATCAGAAGAGAACTAGAAGGGACCTTGGAGGTCTTCTAGTCCAGCCCCCTGCTCAAGCAGGAGACCCTAGACCATTTCAGACAAGTGATTGTCCAATCTCTTCTTAAAAGCCTCCAGTGATGGAGCACCCGCAACTTCTGGTGGCAAGCTGTTCCACTGGTTAATTGTCCTCACTGTTAGGAAGTTTCTCCTTAGTTCCAGGTTGCTTCTCTCCTTGATTATGTTGGAGGTTTCTCGTCCTGCCCTCTGGTGCTTTGGAAAATAAATTGACCCCCCCTCCTCTTTGTGGCAGCCCCTCAAACACTGGAATGCTGTTATCATGTGTCACCCTTAATCCTTCTTTTCTCTAGACCGGCCATTCCCAAATCCTGCAGCCGTTCTTTGTATGTTTTAGTCTCCAGGCCTTTAGTCATCTTAGTTGCTCTTCTCTGAACTTCCTCCAAGGACTCAACATCAACAGGAAGGGCCACTGTAGGGTCCAGCTTGATAGTATGAAGTCAAACACTGAACTGATTTAGTTGGCCCTGCTAAGGAGAGTCTTCCCAACGGGCTGGCTTCAGGAAGCTCACTCACTACCAAAAGTGCTGCTGCAATGGGCCTCCGGGCTCCTCTCCCATTGCCAGCAATAAGAGGGAAGGGAGGGCACCCAGAGCCAGTAGGCTCTCCTGCGTAGGACAATCTCCCACTCCCCTTGAAGAGGAGGCGGTAGGCAAACAACTTGTCAGCTGGGATAGACGCCAGCTGGGAAGATTTAGAGCTGAGATGGATTAGATCCGAGCAGCAGCGGCAACAGCCCTTGTTTTGCGCTTGGCTTCATCTCCGAAGTGGCCCGTTGTGTGCCTGGCACCCAGGAGTCAAACAAACCGTGTTCCGGTCCTATCCAGCTCGGTCTGAGCCTTTGGCGTGTTTCCTCTTGGGACCACTACCCATGCCGGTAGGGGAACGGCCATGAACCCTTTGCTGGCTGGAATCTTCCTGGGTGGATTTTGTCATCTGCTGGCAGGTAATGACCGACGTCCTTAGCAACCCCGGCTCTTTCTGTGTGGTTGTGGGTCTGTGGATTCGTGTGTGTGAGTCTTCTGTACGGATCGGTGGGCAATGCTTCTTGTCTTGGGAAGGTTTTCTGTAGGGTGTGTGTGTGTGTGTCTCTGCTAACTCTTGGAGGGCAGAGTTGTTCAGCTTCACACTGAAATGAACGTTGATCTTCTTCACACCAGGCTGTTGTGGCCAGTCCTTTGGCAGAAAACTCCAGACTGTGAAAATTGTGTGTCTCCTGGGGAGGGGGATAGACCCATTATGTCCTAAAGAAGCAAGATTTATCTTCAGTTAAGGTGTCCAAGCAAGAAGGTGCAATAAGGATGGAAGAGTGCATAGATGAGAATCAGAATAAAGCTGGAAGGGATCTTGGAGGTCTTCTAGTCCAGCCCCCTGCTGAAGCAGGAGACCCTATACCATTTCAGACAAGTGGCTGTCCAGTCTCTTCTTAAAAACCTCCGGTCATGAAGCACCCACAATGTCTGAACGTTGTGAACGTCATCACAATGATAGGCAGAATTTCTCTCCCCAGACACATACATACATACATACATAAACATAGACAGACAGACAGACAGACAGACAGACAGACAGACAGTAGATAGATGATAGATATGGTGGATGGATAGAATGGAGAGAGAGAGATGAGAGAAAGGGATGATAGGGATAGACAGACAGAGAGACAGACATAGATATAGGTGGATAGACAGACAGACAGACAGACATAGATATAGGTGGATAGATAGATAGACAGACAGACATAGATATAGGTGGATAAATAGATAGACAGACAGACAGACAGACAGACAGACATAGATATAGGTGGATAAATAGACAGTCAGACAGACATAGATATAGGTAGATAAATAGACAGACA